GCTATCTGGGGAAGGAGTCATCCCAGGCCATGGAAGGGCAAGGGTAAAGAGCACACGCCAGGCATATTCATGTAACCCCGAAGAGGGGTGGAGATCCAAGAGGTGGGGACAGGAGCGCAGATCTTGTAGGGCCACAAAGGATGTAGGTCGGACTTTGGCTTCTCTATTGGAAGAAGATGGGAAAGGATCTGAGCGGGAGTGATCTAATCTGGCTTTGATTAAAAAAAAAACCAAAAATCACTTTGGCTGCTGTGTTGAGCATAGTCTGTAGGGGGCCAAGAGCAAAAGCAGGGGGACTAGTTGGGAGGCCGGCACAGTAACCCTGTGGCTTGGCCAGGTGAGGGCCCCAGAGATGGAAGAGTTGGAGGAGGCCTGTGTGCTTTCGGAAGGAGGGGCCAGCAGCGTGGCTGCTGGGGTGGATGGGGGCCTGCAATAAGAGTCAAGGGTAACTCCTTAAGTTTTCACATGTGAGCGACTCCAAGGATGGCACTGCCATTTACCTAGATGGAGAAGATGATAAGAAAAGCATACCTGGGGGAAAGAGATCCAGAACGGGGTGCTCTGAACATGTTAAGTTTGAGACGCCTTTTAGAGCCAAGAAGAGCTACCTACCCTGTAGGATTTACTATTTGAGAGACCCAGGAGAGAGAGGTCTGGGCTCAAGAGGTTACTTGGGAAACACTGTGGTGAGTCCTGACCCTTGTATAGGACACTTTCCATTAGTGTAATTAGAATTACTCTAATCAAGAAGTTTTGCAAGAACTCACCTGCTTCGCAAAGCAGGATACCCTTGTGTATATGCTCTACTGTAATAGTCCCATGCTGAGAAGTATCCTGTACGCCCTTCTCCCCTTGAGGTTTGTGCGGTATGACATCTTACTTGCCCATTTCAGAGGGATTAAAAGCCTCCTCCCTCCCCTACCTTACCATATCCCCAGGAGGCCACCAGTGTGGTTGCCAGCAGAGAATAGCTCAGTTGATGAGAAAAGCCTTCACTCTGGAATGGAAATGTTTCCGAGACAACTCGGCTCCAGGGTCCCTCAAAAGAGTGGGGGACACTGATCCGGGAGGGTGTTCCCGGGCTCCACCTTCCTCTGGAAGTGGGAACACCCAGGGAACACCCTCTCTGAGAGGAGGATAATAAACTTTCTCAAACTGGGGCAGGGGAGGCAGAGAGAAGCGAAGCTTGAGTCTGGCGCCATAGACCACTGGGCCAGGGATACAGGAAGCCTCTCTCAGGCTTTATGCTGTTGCAAACGGCAGATGCTTAATTAAAGCATCTGCAATTAGTTTGGCTTGTTCTGTGATTCCTTTCTGCAAACAAATAAGATGGGAGAATATATTCGCTTTTGGCAATCTAGTTCTAAAAAACTTCTTCTCCCGTGATCACTCTTTTGTCCCGCTCAGAAAAGAGCTGAACCACTATGTACACAGAGTAAAGTATCTGCCTTACTTCCTTGTTCAAAACAGTATTTTTCCTTCTATTTCATATGGGAGTGCAATTACCCATTTGCTTTTAAGGCATGAGTATTTATTTTGAATTTAATACAAGTTCTTAATCTGGGTGGCTTATTTTTATTCAGTGAAGATAACAGTCTTCTAATTCTTGCTATCCTTTGATTCAACATACTAAGCAATGTTATCCGCCTACTCAAAATGCAAATGCTGTATTTTTTTAATGATGGGAAAAGCATTCACTAGACTTGGAAAGAACTTGAGGGCTGTGTGTTTGTGTATGTGTGTCACTGTGTGTGTAAATAGAGTTGCACTTATTGCCACTTTATAAGAACCACTCACTGAAGCCACTGTAGGGGGGAAAACGACAGGTCCACTCTAAGTGGAGAAATGTGAATTATGTGTGACCCTTTCTTTCATTCATTTATTCAACATTTACTTGGTTTCTACTCCAGTTCTTAGGAATTTTTAACCTATTGAAATGTAGATGTTTTATCCAATAAGTATATACTGCAGATGGCTCCTGAGATAATGATTTTTGGGTGGCTGTTTAAAATTTAAATATGGCATTATATGCATTATTGAAGAGTATGGCCCATCTCTACAGGGTGATAGTTGCAACACACAACACTTTGGGAAGACTGTCACCACACAAACACTGTAAATAAACAGGAACTAGAGTGCTCCCTTTCTGTCCATTTGAAAAAAGACATAACACAGAAATGAGGTTTTAAACCTGATACTCCATTCTTTTCTGCTTTCGGATTGGTTTGCAAAGTGCCTCATTCAAGAATATCCCAAAACCAAAATCATAATACAGAGTGGGGGTTACTCAAGAGTCAAATAAAAGTCACCATATCAACAAGCATGGGTAAACCAGATTCAAATAGTGCAATTATTTTTTAACAGATAGTTTAGATTAATAGGTGGAGACTCGGTTCTGCCACAGTATTTAAGGTTAGGTTAATAATTAACTTTGGTGCCTGGAGTAGTTTAATCAAAGCTTACTGTAAATCATAAAACTGCTCCATGCAGACTAAACAGGGTATTAAAAAATATACAAAATGCTTGCAATCTTGACCTCTCATAGCCATTTGGATAAGGTGTAAAAATACAATATTTTCATTCAGAATCGAGCCCAGGCATCTTTACACTGGGGGAAAAAGCCTAAATAAAGGATTCATGTGTCTGGAACCAACAGTCTTTCCCCTGCCATCAGAGTGGACTCGATGCCCAAGATGTATGTCTGAAGGAAGCCCGACAATTACCAGGATTAGAGAAAGACAAGGCAAAGACACTCAACCTTCCTACCCGGGAAAGACTTAAAAACCAGCGCTGGGGGGCATTACATAGCTTTCTTGAGACATGCTGGCAGAATACTGCACCTGGGTTAAACATCTTTTCAGATTTGAGGCAAAGAAAGTTGTGCGTACAAGTGTACCCATCTGCCTGCCTGTGTGTGTGTGTGTGTGTGTGTGTCTGCCTTCGCCTGTGTTTTAAACCTTTTCATGGATCACAGTCAGTAAGTAGCAACTTGATTTCCATCCAGCATAAGCAGAGAGCGATCCCGTAAGCAGAGAGCGATCCCACCGCGGCCATGAGTGGCCAACGCATTTTCAAAGCATCCACCTTGCTCCCAAGGACCGACTGGAACGGCCGTTGGGGCTGCGCAGTGCGATACAGGCCGGCGGCGGCTGCTGTTAAGTGCTTTCCTTGGCTGTGAAGACAGCAGGTCCTCCCCTGCTCCAGCAACACCTGGCTCCCTGTTCCGTTCCTCCCTGGAGATCCGCCGGCTGGAAAAATGCGCAGGGCACCGGGGTGGGGGTGGGGGTGGGGGTGGGGGGGAGGCTGGGGATGTTGCACTTGGAACTGGGGCTTACAAGCCAGCGAGTTCCGGCCCCGTGTCCACACGCACCCGCGCGCCAGCCGCTGTCCAGTGGCCGCACCAGCATCCTGAATCCTGCCCCCGAACTTCCCTTCCCTCCGCCTCGCCACCGCTTTCTCGGCTGGACCAGCAAGTGCATTGCTGAGACCCCAGCCCAACTGACTGCTGGACTGGGGAGCCACTGTCTGTGGACCAGCATCTAACTCCCCGCGTCCTGGGCGGTCCACCCGCTTCCCTCCGGATTCGGTTTCCCGCGGGCTGCACAACGCTGAGCCCCAGCCCGTCGTGCCCGCCGCCCCCAGCTTTCAGAGAAACTTTCCAGAAGCGCCGGGTCGAGTGACCCGGTGCTGGAAAAGGAGGAGGCGCTGGGCGGAGGGGCGGCGAGGCGGCGAAGGAACGGGAAAGACAGCGGAATCCTGTTTCCTTTCCCGAAACGCGCAAGTTCGGGACTGCTCCCTGGCTCCCCCTGTGTACCGCTCGGGTCGTGGGAGGAGAGAGCGGACCTCAGGATTCTGCTTTGCAGCGTATACCACAGTGGGGAGCTGAGAAAAAAAGCAGAGAATCTGGAGCAGAGACACTTGCCACCCAGCGGAGTCATACAGGGAGGGTGGGCACTGTCGAGTTAGCTCCCCAGCGCCCCACTGCCCGCGAGGCAGCTCTCTAGGACGCGGCGAGTAGTTCGGCCATCCAGAATCTGGGGCCCGGGCAGAGCCCTTGTCTGGGTAGCCAGCACTGGGTCATCCTTTGCAAGGCTTTCCACCCTTCCCCCTCCAGAGACAACTCCTTTCCGTAGAGGGACCCCGTAGATTTGGGGGAACAGCGCAGCGGGCGCCAGCCTCAGCGTGGCGGGCTCTGTACTAGAGGGGGACGGAGCCGCGACAGATGCTGTCCTCGCCGGCCAGAAGGGAGCTGCAGCGGGGGGATAGAGGACCCAGGGCGGGGGGCCCCGCGCCACCCCGGGGGGAGACCATTCCTGGGCACTCATTCGAGCAAACAAAGCCCGGAACCTCTGGTGCCAGCGGCCGCCAAAGCCGGGATGTCACCAAGTGGCAGGGCGCACGGGTACCAGGGCCATTACAAGTTTCCCGCACTCCACAGAGCCCAGCCCGGACCCCGAGCGGACAACAAAAGATTCTCTTCGCTTTCTCCGCGGAACCCCTTCTCCCACCACAGAACCCAAACCTGGAGCTGGGCGAAAACTGCGCTCTTCTACCCAACGTCCTCCAGCCCTCGAGGGCAGAACCCTTTCCCCAGCCTTTGCATTAGGACCGGGCGTTGCTGAGAATCCCACCCTCTCGGGGCCTCTCTGCTCCCTGCTGGCCCGAAAGTGAGGACGAGCCCCGGGTCCTGCACACACATTCCCCAGCCCCGCAGCACCGCGCGGTCGCGGTCCCGGGCGGTGCCCGGGCGTGTGCGCGGCGCGGGTGGGGAAGCTCGCGACGCGGAGCCCGGCGGTCTCCCGGGCACAGGGCGGAGAGGAGCGGCGCGCTGGGCTCACGACTGCTCCCAAGGGCCGGGCAACGCTCGGGAGACAGACACCAGACAAAATAAAACGCAGCTACCACAAAGCCGACAGCGCGTGCCGGCCGCGGCCCCGGGACCCTCCGGCTGCAGCCGACCCGCCAGGGAGGTGGGGCGCGCCGGGGCGCCCGTGCCGTACCTTTTCGGTGCATCGACGGGCAGGCGGCCGGGGCTCGGAGCGGGCTGGTACAGCGTGTATCCCATTTAGTAATCCATTATCGAGGAGATCTCTCCGGGCCGCAAGCTGCGCTCTCTCCTTTGCAAGCCTTTGTCATTCCTACATGTGTGCTCCTCTCTTTGGGGGTAACAGTCGCGGCGACTACTTTCTGGGAAGCAAACGCGCTGTGTTCATCTCCAGTGACAGGCGCAGAAGGGGAGAGGGAAAAAAAGAAAGAAAAGAAAAGAAAAAAAAAAAACCAACAAGGAAGGAGTAAATGTTCAAGAAACTCTTCTCCAAATCCAAATTCCACTTGGATTCCACTCCGGTGAGTCCCTTCGGTGGTGTCCGCGCGGATTAACAAGTCATTTCAGGGTGGGGGGCGGGGTGGGGGCTGGGGCAGGGGGCACGCTGTTGTCCCCGCTCTGCGACCGCGAGCGCTGCTGCCCGGGTGTGGCGACGCTGGCCGCTGCCGCCGCTCCTAAGCGGGCCTCGCGGGCGGGCGGCCCCGCGGAGAAGCGCCGCTACTGCGTCCCGAGCGCCTGGGCGGCCGAGTGCGCGGGGAGCGGAGTTGGCTGCAGCCTCACCCGGTGCCGCTCACTACTCCTCTGTCACTGGAGAGGCCGCGGCTCCCAGGCGGAGCCAAGTCCCGGACTGGATCGCGCAGAGCGGACTCTCCTCCTGCAACCCCGCCTCCTTTGGCTGGCGTCTCCTCCGACCCAGAGGAGGGCTGTGGTGTTTGTGTGTGAATGTGAGGAAGCGTGGCGGAGAGACGGAGAACCTACGCGGTGTGGCTGCAGGTGGAGCCTCGCACCGACTGGCCAGCGAGGCTCCTTCCACCACGATTCCCGGCCCCCGCCGCGCTCCGGGTGGAGGTCCCGGTGGGGTTGACTCCGGCTAGAGCCCAGCCCCTGCTTCCCCCACCCCCGCATCTGCTCTAGCAAGGGGGAAAAAAGAGAGGGAGAGAAAAAATCCCGGACAGCATTGCTGAGCCCTGCCAAATCAGAAAAATAAATAAAAATAGACGTAGCGCAGGAGCGAGTTACAAGAAAGGATCTGATCATCGATTTTCTTAAATGGAAAAGTTTTAAAGGATGAGGGTAAGTGAACGATGAGCCTTTCTAATTCTGATTACTGTGTCAGGAGGTAGATTCCAGAAGTGATGGACGCTCTATGCACCCAGATGCATTGGATAAAAGCCGGTGCGGTTAAAAAAACACACCTCGAAGAAATGAACACAGTTATTAGCGCAATACAACATGTTAATAAAGCGTGTTAAGTAAGCACGTAGATTGTGGTACAAAGAATGGTGTTATCACCAACAGCCATAATCTGTTTTAAAACTTAGAAAGTGTGTGGACTGTCCTCAGAAATAAGTAAACTTCAGAAATAAGACGCAGACAATTGCAGTGAGGAGCCAACAGCTTCGTGGAAGAAGTACATCGCAACTTCTTACACGGCGCTATTGTTAGGATCACACGGAGAATGGCAGCCACAGCCTTCCTCCGCCGCGTGAACTTGCAGTCGCCAGAAAGCCTTGCAGTTACAGGCTTGTGCCGACTGGTCCGGTGTCCCCCGCCCGCGTGCCGCTGCTCGCTCCCCGCCGCGCCCGCACGCCCCGCTCCCCAGTGGGCTTCGCAGATGGTGCGGGCCCGGAGCCACAGCCTTTGCAGAGAGGAACACTGGGCGGCCAAGCAGTTCTCCAGGCGGTATTTACCAGTCATGGGGTCGGCCGGCCGAGAAAACCACTGGGAGGAGGATCGGGGTCTCACTTGCCCTTAGGCCGAGTGCCCTCAAAAGCAGATGCATCAGAACTGTACCTGTTCCCTAATTGGGGCCAGGACCCGCGTTCTCTTTTCTGCTCTTCCTGCGGGGAACCCAAGTTACGTACAGACAGCTGCTCGTGAGGACTCACGAAGAATAAATGCACATGCGACAACACCCTGTATCTACCATATATTTTTTTTTCCACAAACCACCTGGAAAAGGTGGCGAGAACGGTGAGGCAAGTCAGGCTCTCTGCTGTTCGCCAGAGCTGCCAGCAGGGGCCGCTGTCCCCACCTTTCCCAAGCAAAAGCCACAGCTCCTGGGTGGCGGGGGGGGGAGGGGGCGCGGCCCTGGGTGCGCGCGCAGCCCCCGCAGCACGCGAGCGGGCCCCGGGAGCGTGCACAGGGGCGTGGGGGGCGGCGGCGGGCTCGGCTGCGCATTCCCGCGGCAGGGTCGGGGGCCGGCTCCGCGACGTCTTCCTGGGATCCGAGCCGGACTGGGGCAAGTGCCCTCGCGGGGCCCGGCGGGCTTGATCCTCAGCTGCGCTATTTAACGCCCGGATTTCGGCTGGTGACGGCAGGGCCACTGCGAACCGGGTCCTGGTGCTAGTCCGTGCGCCCCAGGCGCGCTCCCTCGGTCCCAAGGTCGAGACCAAGAGGCCCCCGGGGAGTGGTTCCCGCCCGGCACCTCCACCCCGCCGCGATCGTCGAGGCCCCTTCTTCGCCCTCTGCCGCTGCTTTACATGCTAATTGTGTCTGGGAAAAGTTCTTTAATTGGCAGAATTAGGCAGAGCAAACGAATTGTTTCACAGGCTGAACCAAATTAATTCCGGGTTTAGCTTCTTTCCTTGGAGAAACAAACAATTAAGCTGTCTTGTTTGCTTTATGGATCTATTGGAAATGCCCCACATCGGGTTTCAGGATATGTTTTTAAAGAGAAATTATTTCCATTATTAATACTTGCATGTTTAATTTGCGGTAACGCTGAGCGAAGAAGCGAGAGATTAAATTTACCTGATTTTACATTATGGAATACAAGAAGAAAAGAATTTGAGTTAACTTTCACAGGGCTACTAAATACCACCCAGAATCTTCCTGGCAATTGTTAGATCTCAAAGTTTCACCATCCAATGAGGCGCCCATCCTGTCCTGACGAGGTGAGATTACATTTCCACCTGCCAGCCAGGGGAGAGATGCTCCCAGAGCTGGAAGAAAAGCCAGCTATTGTGTCTCTCCCAAAGCCCTCAGGGGAGCACCTGTAGGGAGGCTGCCCAGTGAAACCTCATGATGTCATTTCCCCTTCTGTGCACCTCAGACTTGCTACCAGAAGCCTGCCTTAACTTTTCAGTAGAACCACTGCCTTTCCAAAGCCTGCCATCTACCCTGTCCCTTCAGGGAAAGAAAGCCAATGGGGGTTAAAGAGTCCCAGAGCGTACGAACTGGAAGGAAATTTAGACTGTTTGTAGTTAAATGGCATGAAGTGGAGTGAGGAAGGCTCTGGAGGTGGGCTATGCTTATGTAACTTAATAGCTGGTGACCCTGGGCAAGTCACTTACCTCTCAGAAGCCCCAGTGGGTTCCCCTGTAAAGGGGAATTCATGTACTCACTTCCCAGGGATTGTGTGGATTAAATGAGAGGGTGAGTGTAAACCTCGAGTCTGAGTCTAGAGCCTGGCACACCCCACTCTGTCAGGGTTAAGTAGAGTTGCAGTCATTCTTGTCATCCTCTACATCTGTCCCCCCAGCACGTTTTCCAGCAGTCAGATGGGAGGCACCGAGGGAAGATGAGGCTTGTTTTATGTCAGTGCTGGGAGTTACCCCTCACAACTCTTCCATAAATGTTTCTGTGATGAAAATACCTGCTTCCCCCCCCCCCCCCCCCGCCCCACATCACCTGGGAAAAGTGTAGAGGAAGATTAAAGAGGTAAACTCACACGGTATCCTTTTAAAGACCACGTCTCATTATTTGATCAGAAACTCTGCTTTAAGACAAAAAGGTGTGGTGGACTTGGGAGAAGAGGGGTCTGCTAGGCTTCTTGTGGGTGTGAGTTCCCGGGGGACCCTTGGGGAGTGCCGTGCAGTCATAATCAAGAAACCTCTGGATCTGCAATCCCTTCTCCAAAATTCCCCTCAATTTCTTGCTTTAAATCAGTGGTTTTAAAATCCATTTGCACATTAGAATTACTGGTGAGTTTTAAATGGCGCAAATCCCCAGGCTGGAGAGATTCTGAATTATCAGGCTGGGGGCAGCACCTGGACATGGTTATTCTTTTCCAGCCCTCCTAGGTGATTCCAGTGTGTAGCCAGGGATGAAAACCACCATCACAATGAATCCGGGCTGTTTTCTAGAGCACGGCTTTTCCCTGGCCTTTTCTGCTGGGGCTGGTTCTTTTCCCTCTTGTTGGGAAGTCAGGTCATTGGCTTCTCAGATAATTTCTCCTCTCTGAAGCTCCTGGAGCTTTGGAGGCTGTGTTCTACAAATACATTGATGCTGTTTGTCATCCACAGATCTCGTTTTATGCCATTTCCAAAGACTTAGCACCAGGTGAAATGTCCCCCTAGGAGTCCCACCACCTATCACCATTCACGGAAATGTTAGCATCCACCTAACCACTGACCCTCTGTTTTCCCAGCTTCTTTCCGCATCTATGCTGTCCTTTTCCCTTACTTAACTTTGCCCCCCAACCCCCGCCCCTGACTCCAGGGCTTCGTGCTGGGCCTTGTTATCTGAAAAGGCTCCATTTCTTAAATCACTAATTCAGACGTCCTGCTTTCCAAACACAGCTTCCTCTCATCACTTGCATACCCTCTGCACACACTCTGATTTCATGAAGGCCTTCAAGCTGTGGGTCCTGCCACTCTCCATCTGTCCATCATCCAACCATCCATCCTGTCAGCCAGCCAGCCAACCAGCTGTTTGTCCATCCATCCATTCATCCCTCCATCCACCCCTCCCTCCATCCCTCCAGCCAGGCAACCAGCCAACCAGCTGTTGTCCATCCATCCATCCATCCATCCATCCATCCATCCATCCATTCATCCATCCATCCATCCATCCATCCATCCATCCTTCCCTCCATCCCTCCAGCCAGCCAGCCATCTGTCCATCCCTTTCTTTCATTTCCCTCTCCATCGAGCAGAGTTTCATGATAACAATCTCTCTTTAGCAAGCACTTTCAACTCCCTTGAAAACCAAACTGTCTTTTGGTCACCCCCATCTGACTGAAAACCAGTTCTGAATGATAGAAATATCAGCCTGCTTTGCCCTCTTGCTGGGCCGCCGAAGCCTGAGAGAACACAATTTCAGTTACCCTCCTCAGTTGGTTGAACACTGCGCCTCCTTGTCATCTTCCCTTTCTCTCGTTAGGCTCTGACTTTCCCCCCTTATCCAGATCTTTTCACCTCGGTGCCTCCTACTTCCCTGAAAACCCAGAGTCTATCACATGGAACTTTTTGTCCCTCTACTCATTCTTTCCTGCATATCTCCTCTTCCAGGGGAGGCCGTGCCTCTCCTCCAACTGAGGCCAGGCCCTCCACCTGTTTGATCCTTTACACTTACTCAGAAATTCTTTGCTCTCTTTCCATCTCACCTGCATCTCCCCATTGGCAGGTAACCAAGCTTTAGCCTCTTCTTCCAGTTTTAGAAACGAGCCTTCCTTGCGTCCTCCGTTCCTTTCAAGCTTCCCCTTCTCTCCTTCCTTCAAAAGCCAAACCTCACCAAGGATTAGTGACAGGCACCACTGCTACTCTCTCCTCTCCCATTCACTCCTTCCCATCTGGCTTCTGTCCCCAGCACTCTATTGACCAGGCTTTTGCCAAGGTCCTCAACAACATCCGTGACCATAAATCCACTGGACA